TGGTTTCAGGATAGTTCAAATCCTATGATGTTCCGATTCAATGCTCACCGATGATCTGAGCCATGGGGCAAGTTTGTTTTCCTAAGAATCTTTTTGAACATTTCGAGAGCACATGTTTGAACATTTAAAGTGCATATGAACATATATGTACGAAAGGTCGCCTCCGAGGGGATAAATCATCATGTCGAACATTGCATTTTTGTTCCTGCCTCTCGCGTTCTCTTCTCTTCCCGCTGTCCTACCTTTCGTGTCTCCCTCCTCTCAAGTGAATCTAGTGGGGTTGACCCTTCCTATCATATAGGAGCGTGTGCCCTTTTCGACAAGAGGAGTTTGATTTCGAGCCTGCGCAGAAAAACGGTAGATAGAGTATTATTTTTCCGATTTTTGCAGTTTTTACCGCGTTTGGTAGAAGAAAAAGGGGCGCCCCCCCCGGTAAAATTGGCAAACACAGAAAAACGTAGATTTTTTACAGTCTTTACCGCGAGGATGCCTCGGAGGAACCCCGTAACCCGAGCAACGCCGCTAAACCAGCACAGTGATGAGTATTTTGGATGTTGGGGGTCTTAGAGTTGTTTCCAGCTGTTTACGCGAGTCTTGGGGCATGGAACAGATGAGGTGAACACCTTTGCATACACATATAGGGCCCCAGAAAGAAAGAAGATGTGATGGACTTCAGAATGCTGCTCAAGATAGTGATCAAGGTTTACTTTTCGACTCTTCGCGGCCAAGGGACCGAACACTTTTTGACAAGAGCAAGTCGATCCAGCTCACACATTTAGCAACCACAGCGACTGAGAAAGCCCAGTCAATCCTGAGCTCGCTACCCTCAATTGAGGTGCGGCATATCTTCCACTGGAGCCCACGCACCCTGGGGCTCGCTTGCGGTTGTTGCTCGAGGATTCCAAGGCGGTTTGCCTTGTGACCTGCTGGTGCGCCCGCCGCAGAAACTTGTTGCCGGAGGAGCGGCTCGTGCGCATCACAGCGATTGATGGTGGCTTAGCTGGTTTGCAGCAACGGTCCATTGTGGCATGATAGGCAAATGTTTGTGCATGTAGCAGGTGCGGTGTATATACTGGAATAGGCTTATAGGCTTAGGCTCATAGCATGAGCGCGTGTGATTATTATACACCTAAAAAATTGTCGAGAACCTCATCAGAGTTTGTTACGTGTTGTCAGGCAAGTTGATGAGAGCTAGCCCTGAGAAGCTTGCGCCTGCAGAGCCCGAAGAGCCTTGCACCCTTGAGGATGCAGCTTATTTGATGCTCCTTGCCCAAAAGTAGTTTTTCACGTTCTTCTAATTCCAATTTGTCAAATTCTTTTCCTTTGCGATTTGCCAAAAAAAGCTACCAGTAACAATGGGCATCGCTACTAGGAGCAAGGACGGTACTAGTAGCTCCTGGCACTACTACTAGTAGCAAGAAGCTACTAGGAACAAGGGCATCGATACTAGTGACATAAGGCATTACTGCTAGTAGCAATCCTACTACTAGTAACAAGAAGCTACTAGGAACAGGGCATCGCTACTAGTAACAAAGGGCATGACTACTAGTAACATTCTTACTACTCGGAGCAAGGGCACCGCTACTAGTAATAAAAGGCATTACTACTAGTAGCGTTCTTACTACTAGTTGTAGATGCTACTAGGAACAAGGGCATCGCAACTAGTATCAAATTTCTACTACTAGTAGCATTCCTACTTCGAGTAGCAAGAAGCTACTAGGAACAAGGGCACCGCTACTAGTAACAAAGGGCATTACTACTAGGAGCAAATAGCTACTAGTAGCAAGGGATGTGCTACTAGTAGCTAGTAACAAAGGCCATTGCTACTAGTAGCATTCTTACTACTAGGAGAAAGAAGCTACTAGAACAAGGTCACCGCTACTAGTGTCAAATGGCACCACTACTAGTAGCAATTGTACTGATAGTGGATAAAAGCGACTAGGAGAAGAGCACCGCTACTAGCAACAAAGGTCACTACTACTAGTAGCATTCTTACTACTAGTAGCGAGAAGCTGTTAGGAACAAGAGCACCGCCGCTACTAGTAGCAAAGAGCATTACTACTAGTAGCATTCTAACGACTAGTAGAGAGAAGCTACTAGGAACAAGCGCACTGCTACTGGTAACGAAGGGCATTACTAGTAGCGTTCTTATGACTAGTGGCAAGAAGCTAGTAGGAACAAGGCCATTGCTACTAGTAACAAAGGGC